AGACGAATTTCACTTAATTCATTATATTTAATTTCCCATCTTGCTTAATTTAGTCATAATAAGATAAATTACTGTTTGAAAAACAATGAAAAAAAATGACTTTCAGACTTAAGCAACTAAAGAGATGGATGAGCCACTTAAGGAGACAGGAACCAGATTTACTTGGTTTGCTTTTATAGGAGGGAATAGGAGATCCCAGAGATCAACTTGTGACATACTAAGTTTTGATGCCTGAGAAATGTGTGAGTTGAGATGTCAAAAGACCAAATGTTCTAAGAACTAAAAACAGTGCCGGGGTGGAGTTGCGGCGGGGAGGGGGTGCCGGCCCAGGACCAAATCCACAGTATTAGATCCAGAGTCTCAGTGAAAGATGCAGACATTACAGCTAAACAAGTATAGCAAAAGTCGTTTTTTGGTTTGGTTTTGTTTCTGAGATAGAGTCTAAGATAGCTCACTCTAGCCTCACACCACTGTGTAGGCAACAATAACCTCAAACAACTCTTCATTCTCCTGCTACCACTTCTCAAAGGCTGGGCTAACAGGCAGGAGCCGCCATGCCCAGCCACAAAGACAATTTGTTTGTTGTACAGAAAGAAAGAATATCCCACGATTTCAAATGTTACTGAAAGTTACAACAGGATGAGAAATGGGCAAAAAGGGATGCGTTAGAATCATGGATGTGGGAGTGGTCTTGGTCTTGCAAAAGACAGGATACACAGCTCTTGAGAGGTTCCAAACTCAAAGCCAGCTTGAAGTCGGCCAAAAAGAAAACGGGAACAAGGTGGGAGGTGGAGAAAGAGCATGGCAGCAGGGCCATGGGAGGGCAAGGGCAGCTTCTTTCAGTGTCGAGTGTTGTCTCAGCGTGAGGTGGGATGTACGGAGACATGTCACCCTGCTGAGAATGGTCCAGGATGACATAGAGGCTGGGAGGGGCACAGGGGCTAATCAAAGCAGCATCTTCTTGGGGAAGAGAGAATTACAGCAGAAGATCTCTTAGGCTGTCTTGACAAGTTAGACTCCAGAGTTCTAAGTAGCATGTGATGCTGTTGAAAGGTGAAAAGCCATAATCCTCATTTCACTAAGCCTTGTATTTAGTCTCACTGAAGTGTTTAGACACAAGTTATTTCGGATTTACCATAATGCTATTTCCAGAGGTCTGAAGCAGAGAAATAAAGGGACAGATAAGCAACGGAAGTCTGACACACTCATGAGACTGTATGCAGAAAATAATGGCACAATGAAGGTATAATCACAAGCACAGCACTGTGACTTTAAGAAGGAAAAATCCAGGTAAAATTCCAAAACCACCCAATTCGATGCTAGGATCTATTGCCATGAGACGTCAATGAACAATAAATAGTGGACTGAAACGACTTCAGCTATTTCCCTCAAAACTACAACTGAATGAGACAATGAGAAGACTTCAAATTACAGTAAGTTTATTACTATGATGGTTAACATTCATTTTCAGCTTGACAGGCTCTAGAATCACTCAAGAGCTGAGCCTCTGAGCGTGTCTGGGAGAGGTTTTCCTGATTGGGCACACCGAGGTTAAGGAGACTCATTCTCAATGTGGGCAGCACCTTCCCATAGGCTGGAGGTCTTGAACTCCAATCCAGCAGAAAGCTGCCTGAGCACCAGCCTTCATCTATCTCTGCTCTCTAACGGAAAATACAATATGAACAGTTGCCTCAGAACCCCGCCATGATGCCTTTCCCAATGGGATGGAATGTGCCCTGAATCTGTGAGCCAATAATAAATCCTTCCTTAAGTTGTTTATGTCAGGTGTTTTGTTATGCCCAAGGAGCAAAATAATGATTACAATTATTAGAAAACAAAGCAAGATAAAAAGCCTCTTCAAAAAGAGCTGCAGAGACGGCACAGTGGTTAAAAGCACTTATTACCCTTGCAGAGGACCCACCCTAGGGTGCTCACAATCATCTGAAGTTCCAGTTACCAGGGATTTGACACTCTCGTTTAGCCTCCAAAAGTACCTGCACACATATGGTACACAAAAACTCATGCAGGTGTGTGCACACAGGCACACACATGTAGCTGGGAGTTTTCCTGTTTTCCACCTGGCCTGTGGTCAGGACAAATCTCTCTCCTCCACCAGTCCTGCAGCCGCTTGGACCCAAGTAAACACACAGAGGCTTATATTAAGTAAAACTGCTCAGTTATTAGCTCAGGCTAACTATTGACTAGCTCTTACACTTAAATTAACCCATAATTCTTATTTATGTTTAGCCACATGGCTTGGTACCCTTTCTCAAAAAAGCAAAACACTAATTTTAAAAAACTGTCAAAAAGCCCAAAGTTAACACGCAAACTTTTCTGCAGGAATACTTTTCTCCGTAGTGTGTAGAAGACTGCTGATCTGGCAATATTTGTTTCATAATGAAACAAAGAATAGACCTAGTTAAATACTGAAACACACAGAGTACTATTTGTTAGTACTTACTACCAAGTTTTTATATGTGCCAGGCACTGTTTTAAGTCCTTTGAATTGTTCATATGTAATTCCCACATCCCTGTAAGGATAATAATGTGAGTGTCCTGCATTTTAAAGCTGTGTAAATGCAGCTCCACCTCCCACAAGCATAGAGTCCCAAGGGCCCAGGATGCAAATTGTGAGAATGTACCACTCTATCAGCAGTGGGATGATAGTACATCCAGACAGATAATTTTCTTTCTACAGGACAGATAATACAATTTGTACACTGTAGGGACACAGAAAACACTTATTACAAGCTTTCATTTTTATATTATTTTATATAACTTAACAAAATTCTAGTAGTTTTTCCTTAAGAACAGTTGGAGAAAATATCACCAAAGAAATGTAAGGTGTCAGGAGAGGGGGTGACAGGAAAGGGTGGGAGCATGTTTAGCAGCTGAAGTTACTTGCCTCAATGCCTGATTATCCGAGTTCCATCCCTCACAATCCATATGGTAAAAAGAGAGAACCAACTAACATTGTCCCCTGACTTCTACATACATGTCATAGTATGTATGTGCACACACTAAGTAAATAAATGTAAATTCTAAAAGGAATATACAAGGGGGGAAAGTATTTACTTAGTATATAAGAAGAAGAAACCAAAATCTATTTTCAATTCCTCAAAAGTCAAAAGTATTCTATTGAATTCTTTAAATCTACAATCCCCTTTTGCTTCTTGCTATGTGTTATTTCTGATGCTAAAAATTGAAAGTTAAAATTTAATGTGAAAACATGTTTTTGAGCTAAAGGACACAATATCCAAAAAACTATAATAACTACAGCTTTTTTATATCTTCTTTTGTCCAAGAAATCAAAAGATGAATCTCAACTATAAAGGAACAGCAAAAAGTAAGAAGTTAAAGTATAGAGCTATGAAATACACTACCAGCAAAGAGGCCCACTTTTAGAAGAGACCACGCTGTAGTTCTCAGGCAGCACATTATCACTGGCCTCCCTCATGCCTGAGAAAGTTGCTTTGCTAACACAAAGGGAAAAAAACCATGAACCTCTGAGAACAGCAATCCTCCTTAATTCAGCTGCTTTTCAAAGCAGTCATTTGTAGGTGGGAAAGCAAGCTACACATCTATATCTTAACAAAAGAGTGAGAATTCCTAAGTCTCTCTATCCCTGCCAAACCTGCATTCTTCCCCATTTCAACACACTAACTGAAACATCAAGGAATATGAACTCAACCTGTCTTAAACCCCAAGGAAAGCAGATCTGACGAGTAATGATCAATACCAAGGAGCAAAATCTGGGCCTGGAGATCAACCATCTGTGGTGGTATTGTGTTCCCCAAAATATTGTGTACCTTAATAAACTTATCTGGGGTCAGAGAACAGAAAAGCCACAAGATACTTAGGCTAGAAAATGTTAGTACACGCCTTTAATCCTAGCATTCCAGAGACAGAAATCCCTCTGGATCTCTGTGAGTTCAAAGCCGCATTGGAAACAGCCAGGCTTGGTTACTCACGCCTTTAATCCCAGAAAGCAGCCTTTAATCCCAGAAAGCAGCCTTTAATCCCAGGGAGTGATGGTAGAAAGCAGAAAGGTTTATAAGACGTGAGGACCAGAAACTAGAAGCATTTGGCCTGGTTAAGATTTGGCTGGTTAAGCATTTAGGCTTCTTGCAGCAGTTCAGCTGAGAGCCATTGGGATGAGGACACAGAAGCTTCCAGTCTGAGGAAACAGGACCAGCTGAGGAATTGGCAAGGTGAGATAGCTGTGGCTTGTTCTGTCTCTCTGATCTACCAGCAATTGACCCCAATAACTGGCCTCGGGTTTGATTTTATTAATAAGAACTTTTAAGACTCATGCTACAACCATCCATATCTAGGCATAATAAAGCTTCAAGGCTTTATTATGGCAAGAGCCTAATCACAAACCAGCCCGGAGAATCTTCTTGAGACTCCTCAGAAAACTCAATGGAAACAGTCCCCAGTGTGCCCTACACACTGAGCACAGGTGACAAACGCTGCTAACCATGCAGAGCCTAAATTCAGACAAAGGCTACAGTATCCAACCTAGATGATACAATTGGCTTCTACTATAATGCTATGCAATGACAGATCATCTTTAAATATTATTTGTGTTAACCCATGCAAGCACTTTCTAGACGTACGTAGAACTGGGCTGTAGAGACAGCTCAGTGGATAATGTGCTTGCTGCACGAACATGATGACTTGAGTCTGCTCCCAAGTACTCACATTCAAGTCAGACACTCTTCTATAACCACACTGCAGGTAGACAGAGACTAGCAGATTCCTCTGAGCTCACTGGCCAACCAGTCTATCTCAATCTGTGAGCTCAGGGTTCACGGACAGGCCCTGTCTCAAAGAGATGAGAAAGCAACCGAGCAAGACATCTGAAATCAAACTCTGGCCTCCGTGTGCACATATGCCTTCCACACATGTATATATACATACTATATATTCACACAAAATGTATAGAGAATACGTAATTTTTGCCGTTTGTAAAATATGTTTAAAATTTAGTAACTTACCTTAGACCAAAGATGTGTGATTGTTCATAATTCAGTAAAGAACGAATCTTAGCTTCAGAGTTCAAAATGATAAGCCTATCGATTATATCCTAAAAATAACAAAGAAACACTGAGACTCTTCTTAACAGAAGCTACTCGAATAAATTAAAGCAAAAAGTATTCATTTAGATTTGTGATTCTAAAATGTGGATTATCCACACTGGAACTACCGGTAACCATGAGATGTTGTGTTCAAAGATGTCCAGATCCATCCTAGAGTTTGTGAACTCCCTGGTCTAGGTGAGGCCTGAGCGTTATGATTTGGAAAAGTTTTTAAAATGAGTTCAATGTTCACCCCAAGTGGAGGACCATAATATACACCTAACTGTCGAAGCGGCAAGCAGGTTGTATGTAAAATAAAATAAAGATAAAAGTGCCCCAAATACAAACAACTCTGAAAAGCAAATATAAAATCTACAAATGTGAAGCAAAAACAGTTGACAGGAATATTTTTATCTAGTAACTACTTCAGGCTATGTTAATAACCTCTCTAGCTTGTGTAGTTAAGTGGTTTAAAATCCTAGAAAAATATCATCATCATCTAGGAAACAAAGATGACTGACAAATACATGATTGATAGATAGAAGGGCAGACTGATAGATAGATTGGCCTACTTAAGAACAATTAAGACAGTATGGCTACAGGTAAGATTCCAGCATTAATATTCTGAAAGTTCCTTTAGATTTCCCATTATGTAGCCATCCCTCAAAACTAGAAGCAACAAGCTGTCTCAAGCACAGACAGCGTTAGTCTGCCACACGGTTTTCTCTGTGACAATACAGCCATCTCTACAAGTTTTTCTTGAAAGCCTCGCTTTTTGCCTAATGTCATGGCCCATATTGTATAATCCCAGGACTCCAGAGGTTAAGGTAGAAGGGCTGCCTTGAGTTTGAGACCAGTCTATAGTGTGAGACTATGTCTCAATCAAAAACAAAAACAAAGAACAAATAAATGAAGTAATTAAAAACAAAACGCAAAGCCCTGTTTTTTGTGTATATCTTGAGTACAAATCTAAAAACTGTCTTTCCAAATCTTTCATCAATGGATTAAATACAACATCTAACTGTGGCCAATAGAGCAAAAAGGTCTAGGAAGGGAACAAAGTGGAATAACATTTACTGATGTTTATGAATGATGACAAGGGAGCAGTTCCAGCTCATGAATAAGAGGTCAGGGAATAAATTATAAGAGGAAGAAGTAATAAATAATTCAAAGTACATTTGAGAAATACTACTACAAGCACAATAAAAACAGACGGGGGAAGCTTATTCTAGCAAGATCTAAGGCTCAAGACTTAAGAATGCATATCTTGGGTAGGGATATAGCACAGTTGGTAGAGTGTCTGCCTAGCATGCACACAGCCCTGGGTTTGATTCTGAACACAACAGAAACAAGGTATGGTGGCTCATGCCTATAATCCCTGCACTCAGGAGGTGGAGCCAAGAGGATCAGAAGTTCAAGGACATCCTTGGGTATACAGCAAGTTGATGGCCAATCTTGACTACATGAGAACCTATATCATATATGTCTGTATGTATACTATCTCATATATACCATAATTATATCATATATATCCTATCTCATATATATTCGCATTCACAAGATTATTGCTATCTTGTAGGAATGCGGATAACTAATACATAAGTCTACATCAGAAAATATTAATGAACAATAGAGAATAAAAAGAGTTATTTTTTTAAAGCTCTGTCACTGTAGTCTGCAGTCTAGTTCTTAGCTGGACACTGGGTTCCAATCATCATGTGACAAAATGAACATACAACACATTCATCCACCCAGCTGCAAAGTCATATTCTCCACAAATGCCTCACCTCTGTCTTCATCACTTAGCACAAATTTGCACAGCTATCTGAACACAAAGCTAAGCATACTGACAGTTGGTGACACCTGGGAGATCTGAAGTTCTGGTTCCAAATCTAAGAAGTAGATTAGGATGAATAAAATGATGGGAAGATATGGTATTGCCAACAAGCTGATGGGAGGAGAAACTGAAACATTCTACCAACAATAATCTCCTTTCAAAGAACAAATGTTACAGTAAATAATCTCTTCTTCAAAGAGGATTACATTGATGTAGCATCACCCTGAGAAGAAAGCAGAGCTCCTGGGAAGCCTGCCTCATGGAGAGCTTTGGTTTCTAAGCACCACAGCCTGTCAGGGAAAGAATCAGCTTCTTAAATCAGACTGAGTTAGCAACAAGCTAGTGGAAGGCCTGGAACTGGCAAACAGTCTGCAGAAATCCCATTTCAAAGGATATTGTCCATGTTGAGAATATGTTCAGTAAGCTAGCAGTCAGCCTAAAACCAGGGCTAGATAAACAAAGAAGAATTCAGTATCAGTAGTATTGTAGAATATTATTTTAACCAGGCAAAAATGTGTTACATTTATTTATGCTGCAGAATATTACTTCAACTGTTAAAGGTGTGTTATATTTGTGTATGTTTAACAATGTAAGGATGTGTGTTTAATTATGAAAAGATATGTTGCATCTGTTTCATCTTGCCTGCCTAAGGCACTTGATTGGTCTAATAAAGAGCTGAAAGTCCGATGGCTAAGCTGGAGAAAGGAAAGGCAGCGCTGCCAGGCAGAGAGAATAAATAAATGAATAGGAGGAGAAATCTAAGCTCAAAGGAAGAAGGAAGAGAATGGGAGGAGGAGGAGGAGAGAAGGAGGGACATGCATGGGGCAAGAAGCCAGGCAGACGCCAGCCAGGCAGACACAGAGAAGCAGTGAAGGTAAGATACACAGAAGTGAGAAAGGTAATAACCCCCGAGGCAAAGGGTAGATAAAGAGAAACGGGTTAATTTAAGTTAAAAGAGCTAAGGGTGAGCATTCAAAACTAATAGTAAGTCTGTGTGTCATGACTTGGGAGCTGGTTGGTGGCCCGAGAGAAACAGCCTGGTACAAAATAGACACATCTGAGGGCCCGATCTATTCAAGTGGTCCAGAGGCCATATTCATGCTATCTTCCTGCTTTTAGGAAATGAGCAGATACAGGATAAGGAATGGGTCAATAAGGCCCTAAAACTGTACCTTCCAAGACTGGGTTTCCTTGGTTGGCCTGTGATGAAAATGAATCCAGTCAAGGTCCTTCCTTGGGACATTTCATTGTGGGGAACTGGAGGAAAAGGCCACTCTCCTATACAGTGAGGAGACAACCTCCTAAAAGTTTGTCTGTGTCCTAATCCCCAGAACTTCAATGTCTGAAAAAGGGTCTTTGAAGAGGGAATTAAGTTAAAAATCTTGATCATCTTATGTCATCCAGAAGGACCTTTATATTCCAAGACAAATGCCCTGAGAAGAGAACCACAGAGGAAGATTTCAGCTAGCAAGAGATGGTGGCCATGTAAAGACGGCTAGGCATGTAAAGAACTGAAGTCAGGCAGCAAAAGACATGAAATGTCTAAGATACTTTATGTGATTAATAGATAGATAAAGATAGATGACAGATGATAGATAGATAAAGATAGATGATAGATAGAAGATTGATAGATGACAGATATAGATGGCTAGACAGATGGAGGATAGATAAATAGATAATAGATAGACAGACAGATAATTTCAATAGAATTACGCTACACAGGGTGATAATGTTTCCCCCAAAGCCATAGACTGTGACAAAAACCCTAGAGCCAAGCACTGTAAACCTTCCTTTGGGTTGTTGGTCAGGTGGTCCAAGAGATCCCCAGATCAATACAGGCTTTTGTAGCTGCCCTTAGCGGCCTCCCAGAATTTTAAGGTTAAGACCTTGAAGACATGATATACTCTGGACACAGGACTGGGAGGCACTGAGCTGCAACTGATCTGGATGTCTCCACCCTGAAGGCATAGTATCAGAACGTGCTATGCAAGCTGCCAAGGGAGAAAAGAGCCCCCAGTTCTCATTAGCTGTGAAGTCTATGAGCCACAGCAATGACTGGCCTAGCAAAATGTCCTTAATGTGCAACAGTGGCACTCGTATCTTGTGAGTAACCAACAACTGTCTGATTGGATTTAAGGCCTGCTTAACGGGGGCAGTTTATGCCTGATACTGCAAATCTAGCCCACTCCTCGTGCCTGGGGAACAGTTTTAGGAGAACCTAAAACTGTTACTTTCTGAAGCTACTACAATTTCTAACTGTGTTCTAAATACATGTCCTTTTACTCAGAGAGAGGTACAGCTCCCACTTCTTACCAAAGGAGCTTCTTTTTGAGCAAATGGTGACTACTGCGGAGTTCCATAATGGATCCCAATGCAGAGAAGGAGTAAACACGGGGTATACAACTCTGGCTGATACACATTCAATGCAACCCCTATACCTAGGGCTCAGGGAAGTGGGCAGAAGAGGGGACAAAAATATTGAATAGCCAGAGAGCCAGGATGTCAGTAGCAAGACAGTATCTTCTGGACTTGATAGAGAACCTACACCTATGAAACTTCAACAGTATGGTTGTCTAAATGAAACCTGAACAATGACAGCACCAGTCAAGACAACAACGTGGATGAGAGAAATTTTACAAGGTCCCACTTCTAAGAGAAGAGCTACAAGCAATCAACAGCGCTGAGAGAGAGAAAAATCTGTTTTCCCTAGGGTAAAGCTCCCTAAGATGTTACTGAGCTGGATAGTTTTAGGTCAATTTGACATTAGCTAAAGTCATCTGAGAGGAGGGAACCTCAATTAAGGAAATGCTTCCATAAGATGGGGCTGTAAGCAAGTCTGTAGGGCATTTTCTTCATTAGAGATTGGTGAGGGCGGGCCCAGCCCATTGTGGGTGGTGTCATCCCTGGGCTTGTGGTCCTATAGCTTATGCTATAAGAAAGGAGGCTGAGTAAACCGTGAAGAGAGAGCTAGTAAGCAGCACCCGTCCATGGCCTCTGCATCAGCTCCTGCAGTACTAAATGGACTCATTAAGAGGTGTGTGTGTGTGTGTGTGTGTGTGTGTGTGTGTGTGTGTGTGTGTGTGCGTGTGTGTGTGTAACAGTAATAAAAAAAGAAGTGTGAATTTGAGAGGAGTGGGGGACATAGGAAGAGTTTGAGGAAGGAGGAAGGTGAAAATGATGTGCAAATAGTAATCATGGCACGTCTTTAATTCTAGCACTTGGGAGACAGAGGCAGGCAGATCTCTGAGTTCGAGGCCAGCCTGGTCTACAGAGTGAGTTCCAGGACAGCCAGGGCTGTTACACAGAGAAACCCTATCTTGAAAAAACAAAACAAAACAAAAAAAGTAATCATGTATGAAATCCTCAAAATATAAAAAAATAGATAAATAAATTAAGTGAAAAAAAGTCAATGACAGAGTCCTGCCTAGATCCCTGAGAAGGGAGTTTGGCTTTGATAACTTCTAACCATGAACTTCCAAGTTTCTTCTCACCTTTTTGAGTCTGCAAAAGACATTTAGCACACATGTGCTCTACTAAGAAGTTTCAAGTACCTAATACAGTGTTATTATAAGCCTCATGTTATTCAATAATACCTGTGTAACCAAAACCCTGTACATGTGACTAGGACTTGGTTCTTTGCCTCTTGCCCTGCCTCAGCCCTGGCAACCAATACCTTACTCTCTGATTCTAATGACTGGGACTATTCTAGAGTCATCACGTTAGTGGGATCACATAGTGTTTGTGCTTCAGTATCTGCATTACACTTAGCACAGTGCCCTCTTTTGGTAGACAGGAAAATCAGTATCAAACCCATTCAAAGTCACAAACCAGTCAAACAGCAGAATGAGAAACTAACAAGTACATAAGCAATGAGATAAAACTGAGCACAAGAAGATGGGAGTGGAATAATTTAAGAAAATAATAAGAGACCCTAGATTCTTAAAGGTCTAATGAGAGACATATCTAACTTTTCATTTTACTTCACAGTAGTTACCAAAACTTTCCCATGATAGAAAACAATTTTAAGAACTCAAATGTTTGGAATTAACAAAGGTGAAAAGTATCCAGAAAGCACAAAACCATTATTTTAAAACCAATAATAGGTAAGATAAAATGACAAGGAAAAAGTAGTTTTTAGAAATAGAATTTCAGTATTAATTCTTTACTAATCCTTGTATATGTGTTCATGTACACTTTTATATACATTCATGTTTAATTCTAAGATAATGAACATTCTAAGATAATGAACTACATCCCCTTTTAGTTAAACCAAGCTAATAATATGAGCAATTCTGAGTATAAATTAAGTTTTGAATTAAATAAGTATATATACACTGTCCTCATGGATGTACTACATAATTCATTAAAACATAGGTTGAAAATATGTTGGACTCATTGGTATAATTTGTTCTTAATTATCCTAGTCAGTGAGGGAGCAGCATTAAGTGTGGCTAATAAGCTATCGAATCATCTAGAATTCATTCATACAGAAGTTGCTTTCCTGGTTATAGAGGGTTAGCTTTGCATCCTGATAGGTAAAGGAACAGTTGCATGTCTTAGACCAAAGTTTCCATTCATAGATACCTCAAAAGTTGATAGTCCAGGGATAAGGAATCAATTTAGATTTTAGTGAGCATGGGGGATTTTGTGTATTATTGTCAAATTATGTTTCTGCTACCAATCCCAATCAGTAGGCAATGAGGAAAGAGAACAACTGAAAGAAAGCAACTTACAATAATACATGTTGGAACTTCCCGGAGAGAATATTCGGCTTTATTGGGAAGTTCTTGATTGCCTGTTAGCTCATACACAGCAGGGTAGGACAGCAGGTTCACCAGCGCTAGGAAAGACTAGGGGAGGGGAAGAGACATTGAAATAGCTCATTTTATTTTTAATATTGCACAGAAAGAGTCATTCATGTAAATATTGCAGGCCTCATGAATGTCTGAGAGCTAATTTTTTTAAATAAATCTATTGTCAGGGTGAGACATCTACCCATAATAGGTTAAAAAAATAATAAGAAATAGCAATAGTCTAAGAGCTTAGAGTGCTAAAATAACAACTGTTAAGGAGCACATGTAAGAGTTAGAAAACATTTCAAAATGATTTGCAATTCCCAAAGTTAGATTCTGATGAAAAAACGAAAAAGCTCCTGCTTTCTCATTCCTTATACTATTATAACCAAGGAAATACAAGAGAGTAACACCCTAAGGCAAGATAACAAGGTCTATATATTCTCAAGCTTAGTCCATAAGACTGTTTTTTAACATACTCAATGAAAATCAGAATAACCTAGACGTCATAGCTAATTTTCAAAAGCCATGGCCTTCCTATTAAAGACAGCTCCTTTGTCCCGGTCTGATCATATGAAGTTCACCTCTCCACAGCACCTGTGAGCCAGGTCCGCCTCTCCGTGACTCTTGTCTGATCACACCAAGCTCACCTCTCCACAGCACCTGTGAGCCAGGTCTGCCTCTCCGTGACTCTTTAGCTTCACCAGCTTAACAGCAACTCGGATCTATTTCTCGCACAAATTCCATTCTTAGCTCCTAGCTCAGAAGCATTCCATGAGCAGCCATCATTAGACAGCAGGAAGTCCAAATGTTTTAGATGACTTTCAGGGCACTTCACTCTCTTCTCCTGTGTCTCAAAAGCCTCATTTCTCACCGTTCTCCACTATGAAGTCACGTGGCCTCCTTCAATTGACTGCCACCTACACAGACTTCTCTTGTCCTATTAACGTGCCCCACCTGCCCTCAACTGCGCTACAAAAGTGTGTCCCTTTCTTTCTAGTCAACTCCATCTTCTTCCTGAGGTTCCACACACTTCCCAGTTGATATATTATTTGCAGTTACTTCTAAGCACTGTGTTCTGCTTAACAGTTTGATATTTTAAATATCCAGTAAGTTGAAAATTTATGAATCAGATATTTCACTAAATGAAAAGTAAAAATTTGAGACAAATAAAACTACTTGATTTGATTTCTCATTAATAGATAAGAAAACTTGAGGTTGTGATAAAGACCTTGACTAATAACACATTTGTACAAGAACAAAACTACATTTTCTTTTTTTCTGGCTAAGGTTTCTTCTGCAAATGAAAACATGACTGTCAGATACTATTTAACAGAGATAGCCACTGTCCAGTCCTTGTTTGTGAGTAGGAAAAGTAGAGTCCACTTCTATTTCCTTCTTTTATACTCAATGGAGTGATACTTAACAAATTACAGTGGCTATATGGTGAACATATACAACATATGGTGCTTTGTAGCAATTCTATTTCTGGATAAAAATTGAACATGCATTAAGTTTAAGCTGTGTCCATATTCCCCCACCAGATACAACCTCTTAAAACAAAGATGAACTTTCTTACCAACTCTAACAACATAATCCAGGATTTAAACCTAATATATATTAGCATAACAGTAAAAGTACCAAATAATAAGTGTAAAGGTTTAGTTTAAATGTACAGAGCATGTTTAGTTAAGAGAATACTATGCAGGAATACTATCACTCTAGATGAGTGTAGTAAAGAGGAGGGGGAAGACTAGTTATCAAGCAAAGCATGTCAGAGAAGTGTGTCTCTAAATTACCATGAAAGGAACTACAAGGAAACTACAGGGTTCGTGGCCACCAACACAACAATTGCGTAAACAAATTCACCAACCAAGCAGGTGCTAAGTAGAAAGATGATTTTCAGATCTCAATAGAACTTTTAAAAATTCATTTTAATATCCAGAGAATATATCAAAGGTAAAATGCTTTAAACATTTCATGATATTAATCCAGTAATGTTTAGATGTAATAATAGATAAATCTTTTCTCTATAGTAATGGATTACAAGTACAATTTATAAATTGAATAAATATCCACTTTGTTAAGAAATAGATTGTTTATGAGTCATATCGTAACATATTGAGGGTTTCTTACTATTTATACAGAATAGCTCCACTCATGTTTATAGAATCTCGCTTCTAAGAAATAAAATAATTCTGTTGGTAGATAGTTAGAATAATTGCTGATATGCTAATCTAAGCAAATTAAGTAGAGCTTCAGATGAAAACAATCCAATGATTGTATTTGAAAACAAATAACCTGCATATAATTTTAAAGAGACTTGAGAAGATTTCAGTAGATTACCACAAGAACAAACAAACCCATTTCTCATGCACTAGGCATTTTCAAAGGCACTTAGCATATTATAAAACTGTGATGTATTAAGCATTGGTGGAACTGAAAGTATTTTCAATGCAATCATCAGTTCCCACAAAAGTACATTAAATGTGTTTGTGGCATCAGACACAATTCTAAAATTGAAACAGCACAAAACATCTATCTACTCATCAGTGTTTAGGAACAACAAGGTTTTATGTAATAATGCTAATGAAATGAGAAGGTCTAGTGGTTAATAAATTCTAAAACTGGCATTTCAAGCTTAGAATTAAAGTAACAAACTTCTTATGAATGAAAACTTACAGGTTCATAATGACTACACACTCAAAATATTTTAATGCCAGCTGCCTATAGTAGTTGTGGCAGATGCCAATTAAATTATGAATGAAGCAACAGTCTCTGGCCTACAGGACAGGAAACACACTGTGAGGTCATTCCATTCAGTACTGTAAATGGCCTGGTGGTGCTGTGCTCTGGAGATAGAGCAGAGGATTCTACTACAAGGCACAATGAGGGGATAGGGGGTTGTGGCTCAGAGAGAGCCGGCCTGAAAGAATGCAGAGATGTGCTATGTTAATAAGATCCATCCCCAACTCTAGGAAAAAGGGGACATTGCTTTCAGAAAATTACTACAAATCATCCTTTATACTTTAGAAAGAAAGAAAGAATTTGGAAAATAATTTGGGTGGTAGACAGTATTAGGAAGTATGAAACTAATTTTGAGTTTGAAGTTTCGGGAGACAGAGTTAGTCCTCTTTTATCAAAATTCTTAGGAACAAATCAGAAGGTGACTCGGGAAGGTAATCTCAAGTGTGGAAGTGTTAACCCATGGTAGAGAACATGCTTAGCTCGCACAACACCCTGGGCTCACTCCCCACTGCCAAGAAAACATGGGGATAGCCAGTTGTTTTTGGAATGGATTTAAGGTCCACTCCGCAGAAGAAGACTCATGCCTGGTACTGCAAGCCTGGCCAGAAACCTGTGGCTGGGAAGTCACAGATCTTAAGGAAGAACCTACCATGATTATTTTGCTAAGCGGATATACTATCAAACTGCTTTCTAAATACTTACTCTTGTTTTTTTTTTTTTCCTCTCTCTGTTTTAAGATACTTTTAAAAATTTCTCTGCATGTGTCTGTGTCTGTGTTAGTACATGCCATGTATGTGCAGGTACCCACAAAAACCAGAAAAAACTGGATTCCCCAAAGCTGAAGTTGTAAGTGGTTGTAAGCTGCCTGACATAGGGGCTAAGAATCAATCTATAGTCACCTAAAAGAGTTGTGCATTTCGTTTCTCAATGTTTACCCTTTAAAATTTTTTAAGGTTTATTTATATTATTTATTTGCTGGCTTGCATGTATGTATACCGTATGTGTGCCTAGTGTGCTTGGAGGTCAAAAGAGGGCATCAGATTACCCGGAACTGGAGTTATAGACAGTTATGAACCACCCATGTGGGTACTAGGAACCAAATCCCGAACCTCTGGAAGAGCAGGAAGGGCTCTGAACCACTGAGCCAGCTTTTAACGTTATAGGCTGTATCTCTCTGCACTGTTTTTCCGTGGTTTCTTAAGGAAATGTTGGTCAACAGGACTTCCTGGAAGTGTGATGTAATCTGAGCTGCTCGATACTGGAGAACACCAATAAGCACCTGTGCTTCTGAACCCTGAAGATATGACTACTACAACTAAGATTACTATCAACATTTTGTTCTTTGAGAATTTTCTTACATGCATACAATGTATTTTAATCACACTCACGAACCACTCCTCCCCCCTAACTCTTCCCAGGTCAGCAACTCCACAACTTCCCCTCCTCCTCCCATGTTCATGTCCTTCCTATTTAACTTACTGAGTCCCTTTTGTGCAGCCCATATATTCATAGCTGTGGCATCACCCACTGGAGAAGGCTCAACCTAGCCGAGGCCACACTTTCGGAAAGTGATGCTCCCTTCCCCCAAAGCCAGCCACTGTCAAGAGCTCCTCCCAGGGTGGGGGCTCATGAGCCTCTCCCTCCTCCCCGCTTGAACGTTCACTGGCTTAGTATTGAGCAGGCAACCACAGCTATTGTGAGTTCACGGGTACACTGATCCCGTCACACCTGGATGATGCTTTCTCTCAGGTTCTACCTGACCTCTGGGGCTCTTAGATCTTTCTGTCTGGTCTTCTGAAACAGTCCCTGAGCCTTGGGAGGAAGATTTTTATTTATTACGTATTTAAATAGCAGCCTGAGGACTACTGTCTACCATAGGCACAGCTGGAGAGAGAGAGAGTTGAGAGACACAAGAAAGGGACTGGAATTCAAACACAAGGTTTAATGGATTTGCTATATGTTGAGACTGTAATTATATTCTAACTGTAATTTAAAATAGATTCAAAAGTGAAAAGAACCCTTGTGGAATAACTGAGCTCTCAACCTGGGTGCTAAAGTTGTTTAATTCTATGAATTATCATTTGTTGTATATTTTAATATATAAGTTAGGAAAATATACAATGTTTCAGGAGAAAAATTCAACCTGTTTATACTGATACTCGCAATTCAAAGTCAAATAACTTGAATAAAATTCCAATAACCTTGAACCTGCATTAGAAATAGTTCATACAGATTTACAACTTACAATAATTTATGTCATACATGAAGGACTCTGTAAACGTGGAGAGTCATATAATAACGTGTCCAAC